ATTGTGTTCCCCCCTCCCTTCCCGCCCAGCCATTGTGGCTTCCCCCTCACCACCTCTCAGCTGCTCGGGCCACCCAGTAGGCTGGTCACAAGTGCCAGGTCCAAGCTCCTTGGACAGGCTGGGTGCAGAGGTTGCCACTCATTTGTCTCAGCACGTCTTGGGTAAGCCATCTCAGGAAGACTTCCTGGAAGTGAGTACCCACTAGGTCCGTGCCCTTCCTCATCTGAGGATAAAGGACCCCGTGAGAAGAGGGAGTGGGCAGGCATGACCACAGTATGGTGTGACCCACCGTGGTCATTCAGGTACCTTTAAAAAAAAGAAAGAAAAGAAATTTCATTGATTTATTTCTTCTGTGGGCAAGACAGACACCCGAACAGAGCCCTTGCGCCATGGGCCACTGCCACCTCACAGGCCTGTGTGCACCTGCTGCGTCTGAGGAGACCTCGGGACATGAACCACTGCACTACCCTCTGAACCTGGGGCCCGCAAAGGATGGTCAGGGCCCAGGATTTAGGTCTCAGGTCCTCTCAGGGGCTTCTCAAGGCGTCTTAGCCCTCATGGAGAGGGAGAGCAAGACATATTCCCTGTCCAACAGAGCGGAACTGACGGCTCCTTCAACCCCTAGGCTGCGGGCTGACCCGCGATGGTTAGGACACTTCTGTCAGCTACCAGTGTCAGTAAGAAGGGTGGCATCAGTCCAAGGTTGGACAGGCAGCTCCTGGGTGGTGCTTTCTGTGTAAGGGTCAGCGGCCTTTGTGCAAGGCTGAGGGCCTGGCAGAGTCCCCACGGCGGACGATTCCTGTTACCAGGCTACGTGTGTAAGAACCGCCTCCACCTCCTCACCCTTTGTGGCCTTCCCTGGCTCCATTTAGTCAGGGTTTGAAGCAAGTGACTCCATTTTGATTCCAACAACTTTGACATCATGCTGGGGAGAGAGGGGTGTCCCAGCAGCCTGTGCGTGTCCTTGTCCAGGAAGCAGAAACCATCATCCAGAAGATCAAGCAGCAGCAGTACGCGGACCTCCTGTCCCACGACCAGCTGCTCGCCGAGAGGAGAGAGCAGAAGGTTTTCCTGCACTTCGGTGAGCATGATGGTCTCTGCCAGGGCCATGTCCAGCCGTCCCTTGGGGGCCTCTTCTCCCCAGGTTTCCTCAGCAGGGAAAGGGTTATGCCAGGGACACTTGAGAATCAAAAATGAAACCAAAGTCTGTCTGTTTCAGAGGAGGAAGAAATCACGTTCGCACCAACCTACCGCTTTGAAAGACTGACTCGGGACAAATACGCCTACACTAAGCAGAAAGCCACAGGGGTGAGTCCTCATAGACGACTCCTCTACCCTCCAGCTGCACCCCTCCCGGCCCTCCTCGCCCCTCTCGTCTCTGTTCCCATAAAGGCAAACAGAAGGTGGGCAGCGTCCTCATCCACGAGGCAACAATAAGGGAGGAAACAGCAATCACACGTTGAGTTGTACCCAGAGCTAAAACTGGGCACCCACACCCGTCTACTACACAGAGCTGAATAGTGACCCCATGGTTTACCTTCTGCCCAGATAGTCTAAGATGCTGAGAGGATTTGCATGTGTGTTTGTGTGTGTGTATGCGTGTGTTTGGAGAGGTTTTTGCTGCAGGGTGTGTGCACTCACCAGAAAGACAGAGAGACAGAAAGCGAGAACTCACACCACACACACCCCGCCGGGTGGATGGCCACACCACAATCCCTTCTCCTCCATTCTCCTCTTGGCATGAGTTTAAGCCACCGGGTCTGGGACTCGATCCATGGTCGACTATATGGGAGTCCAACGACATAGCCATTATGCCAACTGCTGGTCCTGATCCTGAGAAGGTTTTAGAACATGACTATCTTAACTGGGTGAGAAGGGTAGCATCAGTCTAAGGTTGGACAGGCAGTTTCTGAGGCTTGTTTACAAAGAAAAAAAGTCCTGTAATCAAATACATTTGCAAAACTGTTGAGTGAATCCACATGAAACAGGTTTCTTCACTACAGGACTAATCAGAAACTTGATGGGTCGAAGAGCATTGTGGTTTTCCATGAGGAAATCTGTGTGCCAAACTCGGTCATGGGAACCAATTTGTATTTTAAGAGGCCACTTGTGCTCCAGGAAACTGTGTGGAGAAAGATGCAATAGCACATTTACTTATTTGTACAGAAGTATTTCCTGATGGCTTATTAGGAGTTAGCCACTCTCCGTGATGAGCGACCCAGGGAAATGAGATGTCTGTCCTGCATAGAAGAGACCAGGCACATGCGCAAGTAACTAAAGCCAGAATGTGATGGCGTCACACGCAGTGAGGAGCAGTCAGAGAGGAAGTGACCACTGGGGTGGGAAGGGTCTGAGAGTGAGGCAGCGCCTTTGAGGCTCCTTGCAGGAAAGCCTGAATCTCCACAGGCCGTGGCCAGGGGCAAGGGGGGCTGATGTCTTACGGGTTGAAAGAACTGCCAGAGCAGACACCAGGATAGGAAATTCTGGCTTCTGTCACCTTCCAGGGGGCCCAGCCCAGGGAGGCCAGCACCATGGCCAGGCCCTGAGGGTTGGAGGTACCAGGTGGTGGGCACACAGGGCCCCTGGCAGCCTAGAGAGATGGGGAATGAGTTCAGTGTTGTCTGGAAGAGCTCTTTACATACCTGGGCTCAGGGACAGATGAACTGGAGGTGGGAGAGAGAGGCCAAGCTTTGGATCGATTCTTTGAGAGGAAGAGGGAGAAAGAAAATCCAAGACTATTTTCATGAAAATAGGACCACCCAGTTTAAAGACCACAGGGACACATGCGCAGCTGGTGAGGGATGGTCTAGTTTGACTTGAGTGTGGAAACAGACGGGGCCTGTGATGGGAGAGCGTGTAGTCCTGGATGCCAGGTGATGACAGGCAACAGGAAGCTACTGGAAGTTCTGTAGAGGGGCTGGTGCATCAGGTGACACAGGTAGGATTTTGGTTGGCATCATTGTAAAGGATGAGGATGATGCAGGGACATCAGTGTGGCCATTATGGTGGTTCCAGCTGAGAAACAACTAGGGCCTGAATCAGACAGAAAAACAGTGAAAATGAAAGGAAAGGAAAGGAAGCTCTATTGGTAGATCTGATTGCCAGTAATAAAAACTGAAAAATATGGAGGCAGAGCTGGCTTGGAGGGGAAACACAGAACTCGATTTCAGAATTATTGATAGTATAATGTTAGTGGGAAATCTCAGAAAATATCCAGAAGGCATTTAAAATACTAGATTGATGCTAAGCAGAGACCTTGGAGTTGGGGCTGTAGATTTGTCTGTAGAGAGGACTGTTAAATCCATGAAGGTAGGTGAGATTGTCAAGGAAAGAGAGGAACATGAGAAGAGTGTGGATGGATTTGGCTTATCTACATTCAGAGGTTAGAGGGAGAAGCAGAGATAACAAAGATGACAGAAGAAGAGTGCTCATGTAGGTGGGAGGAGGGGGGAGGACAGGCATCCTCCTCAGGGTGACTCAGCACCACAGCAGCCAGGAGAACTGCTCAAGCATGAGTGGTCCACACTATGCAACATGAGCCAGAGAAAATGAGAACCATGCACAGGCAGCTCGATCGAGTGTTCAGAGGTTTGGGAGGAGCTGAAAAGAATAGCTTGAATAGAATCATAGACATGAAATCCAGACTGCAGGAGGATAGGGTGGACTTTCCCAAGGGTGTGCAGATGAATCGCTCACTGGCGGAGCTTTTCAGAAATGCAGATGCCGGAGCCTTATCCCTAGAGGTTATGGTGTTGTAGGTCTGTGTGGGGTCCCATTTTCTCTATATTTGTAGAGCTCCACAGGGAATTCTCAGGGCAGCCAGTGCTGAGAACTACAATACGAGGTAGGTGTTTGGCAGCACCTATGGAAATCAAACGTACACCTGCCGTGCCATTCAGTCATTCCCTGTTGGTGTAGCCGCAAGAGAAATCAGTACATTTGGCCACCAAAAGATAGGTACGAGAATGTTTATGGCAGTTGTTTTCATAATCTCCAAAACTGGAAACAACCTTAAGTCTATTAACAGTAGAATAGATCAATGTGGAAAGCTCGTGTCACAAACACATGCTCAATGAAATACTACTTCGGCAATAAAGCAAAAGAACATTTGTAAGCAACAATAGGGATGACAGAACCAGACACAAAGAATAGATACCGAATGAGTCCATTTACGTAAGTTCAAGATGAAGCAAAGGTAGCCACTGGAGATGTTGTCAGAGTACTCACCCCAGGAGGTGGTAGTATTGACAAGGAAGGGATACAAGGGAGTCTTTTGGGATGATGGGAATTTTCTGTATTTTGATCTGGGTAGTAATTAAATGAGTGTGTACAAATGTAAAGATTCCTCAAGCTGTACACTTAAATTTTTACTGAATGTAAGTTGTACCTCAAGTTAAAAAAAAAAAAAAGGAGTGGTCCAGAAGTAGAAGTAGTAAAAATAGAACATTATTGAAACGAAATTGATAAAAGGAAGAAAAAAGTAAATAAAGGAGGTGGTAGGGATAAGCATTTTTAGGATGTGCTGGGACCAGCTCAGCATGAACACATTTCTCTGAGTGGAGAAGGCAGTGGATTAGACATAGACGCAATAACAAAGCACACACAGACACACACGTATAGAAAAGCGAGGCTCAGATGGGCAGAGCTCCTCTGCTGGAAAAGTTGCGACCAGAACCAGCCTCAGGTTTATTCTTTTAAAGGGCAGGATATGCGGGAAAGGGAAAACAGGACACAAAAGGAACGGGAAGAAGAAAGTGGAATGCAAAGAGAATAGGGAGGAGAAATCGGAATGCAGAGTCAGTTGTTTTGGGATGTAAATTGTCTGAGGATGTGAAAATGACTGGCGCCATATAATTTCTCTGATCTTTCTGGGGGGACAGTCTGATAAACGCATGTGACTTCCTTAAGCTCATACTGGGCAGTATGGGGTATTGGGTATCAACAACACAGGAAGACAGCTATTGACAGCAGGCAAATACTGCTTCCGTATATAGATGCTTCTCAATAGCCCTGCGAGAGTAGCTTAACTGTGTGGGTCTCCAGGCCACATGTTTTAATCGCACTTTCAGACTGGCTGCTCTCCACAAGGATGAGTACCTGTATGCTCGTAGGCAGAGAAGAAAGAGCTAGAGCATAAGAAGATAAGGATATGATAATGCAGGGCTGTTATCATGGCCAGGTGACACCCAGTGGACATCTTGCTTAAGGCTGTGCCTGAGTCGCCACAGAGGGCTTGTCATACAGTACATATTATTGGAATGGTTGGATGAGTGGTTGGGTGAGTAGGTGGACAGGTGTGTGTAAGGGTGGCTAGATGGGCGGGTGGCTGGCTGGCTAGATGCGTGCATAGGTGGATGGATGGGTGGATGAGTAGATAGTGGGCGGGTGGGTGGGTGAGTAGGTGGATGGATAGATGGGTGGGTGGATGGATGGGTGGGTGGATGCACAGGAAGATGGATGCACAGGTGGATGATGGGCGGATAGGGAGATGAATGGGGAGATGAATGGGTGGCTAGAGCATGCTATTAAAGTACTGCAGAGTAAGAGGAGACAGATTGAAAATACAGGTAGAGGGGTCCATCTGAGTGAGAAAGAAAGTAAGAAGAGGTGATGATGCAGGGATACCGAAACAGGGAGGAGGATGGGTGAGGGGGCAGCAAAGTGAATTCATCTTGTTCTAGGCAGGAGTCCAGAGTATAGGGACGCATGGGGCACGGCAGTGGAGTCGAGACTTGAGGTGGGTGGAAAGTTTAAAGCAACCTACAGGAATTTCTATTTACACTGCCAGTTAACCTTTTCTTTTACTGATGAAGTATATATATATATATACACACACACATACATATATATACACACACACACACATACAAAGCTGGCTTTTTATAAAGCTCGTGACTTTGACTTGCAGATGAAGTACAACTTGCCTTCCTGGTGTGACCGCGTCCTCTGGAAGTCCTACCCTCTGGTGCATGTGGTGTGTCAGTCCTACGGTGAGTCGAAATGCTAGGGGTCGCAGACCAGGATCAGAGAACAGCTCGGTGGGGTCTGACATGGTCTGTGCATTTGTAAAGTGGATGCACTTCCTCCCCCTGACCAGGTGACCAGAAACATTGCTACATTCCCTCCCTGGGCTGCAGTCTAAGAAGTACCTCCTGCTTTGGAAGCTACTTGAGTGATGGACCACACTTTAAAGTTCAGATTTATTTGTTTTGAAAACATTAGGCTTAGACCACACAGAAAGGGTGTTTCCATAGGTCAAAAATAGTCAACTATTGAAAATTCACATGGTTCAACCTAACACGTATCTTAAGTGAACACACAGGAATTGGGGAAGTTACAGAGAAATTGAATTAGACTGATGAAAAAGGCATGATGTATAACATTAAGATAATTATGGAGTGAGTTATTAAAGCAGCTAAGACATAACTTGACCTTGGAAGTTTGCAGTACGTTGAGGGAGTTCTGCATCGCCTGAGTGCTTGTTCTTTTCTTCTTTTTAAATCTATTTAATTTTGTTTATTATTATCATTTCTCAGTTTAACCAGAGAGATACACAGAGAGAGAGAAGAAAAGTGAGAAAGCACCAGCATCCCAACCACCTGTTGGCCCCTTCTTTTTAAAAAATTATTTATTTTATTTATTGTTATTGACTTGCATGTGCACTCACTAGAAAGAGAGAGAGAGGGAGAGAGAGAAAGTGAGAAAGCAAGCCACCAGGTCTGGGATTTGAACCATGGTTGACCATCTTAAGGAGTCCAATACCTTAACTACCATGCCAGCTGCTGTCCCCTGTGCTTATTCTTAAAAGCTAGTTCTCACTACTTGCAAAGTAAGAGCTTGGAAAGTCACAGAACAGAATTACTCTGAACACTTGCCTGAATGAAAATTGTGTTTGGTTTTTTTCTAGAGGTTTTTTTTGTTTTGTTTTGTTTTGTTTTTTTGCTATAGGGTGTGTGCGCTCGCCAGACAGACAAAGAGAGAGACAGGGAGATAGAAAGTGAGAAATCACCCTCCAAGGGGGATGGCCACACTGCAATTCCTTCTTCTCCTCCGTTCCCCTCTCGGGATCTTGGGCATGCATGCACACGCACCCAGTGTGAGTTTTAAGCCACTGGGTCCAGGACGCAAACCGCGTCCGACTACATGGGAGTCCAGCAATATAGCCATTACGCTAACTGCTGGTCCCTTATTTTTAAAACATTACAAATTCCCAGACAATGGCACCCCAAGGAGAGCCACCCTGGTCTCTAGCATGCATCTATGGAAAGAGGTCACAGCCCAGGGGTCCCTGATGGGCAACTCAGGACTCCAGGCCTGGCCAGCTGGGCCCCCAACCCCACCGCAGCCCTCAGAGTGCTGCCCCCTGTGCACCACTGTGGCTCCCACCCTCTCCAGGGCCGGCCAGATGCCGGCATTGATCTCCAGTCCCATAGGTCAAACCGACTTCCATTCCTTCTTCTGTGCACGTCCCTTGCTGCCCAGAAGGGACCCAGAGCAGCCCCGTGTCTTCAGCTCCTGAGCTCTGTCTCCCAGGAGTACCGTCACTAGCCGGCTATCACGTGGCACCTTTACATGTGGGGAACGCCAGCCTGCCCTCACCGCTGTGGCCAAGGAATTGTCCCACATGAAAACCTGAGAGTACCCACACCACCCACCGCCTGTGGCCTCGTCACCGTGCACGCCCTCATCTTAGTCCGCCGTTGTGTTGCCGACAGAAATAGCTGACTCTGGGTGCTTCATAAAAATAGAGGTTTATTCAGCTCATGGTTGGGGGGCCAGGGGCCAGACTCTTATGGGGCTACAACATGGTGAAGGGCAGGATGACGAGCAGAGAGGCTGTCCCTAAGTATCTGCCTGCCCTGGGCTCCCATACTCTCTGTAACCCACCAGCACTCAGTCACAGGAGCCCGCTCAATGACCTTAGCACACCCAAGGTGCCACCCAGGACCCCATGAAGGGAGGAGGTGAACTGAATCACATACCACCTTTAAGTACCACCAAGCCCTCACCCGTGAATTCTGGGGGACAGGAGAACTCTAGCACTGCATCCCCTTCCACACTGCTGAGCTCTCCAGGCCGGTGTGAGATCACTCATATCAGGAGCCCTGCCAATTCTTGCCTTTCGGAAGATCCCACCAGGGCCAGCCGCTGGTTAGGTGATTAAGGCAGATGGATCCCAGTTCAAGTCATGGACCCAGTGACTTGAAAAACATGCTAGGCACATGTGCATGTGTGCCCAACATCCTGAGAGAAGGGATTGCAGTGTGGTCATCCCCTGTGGGAGTGATTTCTCAGTTCCTTCTCTCTGGCGAGTGCACATGCCCTATAGCAAGTTAAAGAGAAGAAACAGATTAAAGAAACTCCACCATTTGCCTTCTTCAGCCAGCCTCTGGAGAGCCAGAAGACAGTGGAGGCTTATAGAATTACCACTTACTGTTTTGAACCTGAACTTGACATTCAAAACTGCTCAACTGAAGAGGTTTTAGGGGACTAGGAGGGAGATTGGTCTGGAAGTGGTAGTAAGGAGCAAGAAGGTACATTCCCCCCCTCTTGGCCCAGTGTGTGAAGAATGGAGGGAAACCATCCTGAGAGTCCTCGGGAATGGCCAGCTTATGGGAAGGGAAGACGAAAGATACAGGGAATTCGATAATGATCATTAATTAAATGTCATAGTTTTTTTTTGTTTTTTTTGTTTTTTGTTTTTTCTAGAGAGATTTTTCCTAGAGGGCATGTGGACTCGCCAGAGAAACAGCGAGAAATCCTCCCTAGGGGGATGACCATGCCACAGTCCTTTCTCCTCCATTTTCCTCTTGGGATCTTGGGCATGCACACACACATGCCCTGCATGAGGTTTAAGCCACTAGGTTCAGGATGTGAACCATGGTCAACTATGTGGGAGTCCAGTTATGTAACCTTTATGCCATTTGCTGGTCCCAGTGTAGAAGGGTTTAATGGGTAAGAAGGGGGCAATATTTGAGAAAGAAAGGAATAGATATCCAGAGCTCAGGGAATGGGGTGACCTGGGAGCCTAGGTCTTCTTATGCTGAGCCACGAGACCAGGTGTATCAGCTACCTTCTGCTGCAGAACAAACGACCCTAACACTTACTGGATTAAAGCAGCAATTTGCTCATAGTTCTCATGATTCTCTGAACTGAATTTTGACTGGCTCATCTCTGCTCTATTTGTGTCAGTAGGGTCCATTCATATCTGGGGTTGTCTTGACTGTAGGCTGGGGTGATGGTGATAACTCATCATCCAGCAGGCTAGTGTCGGCTTCTTCACCTCCTGGTCTCAGGGGTTCCCTCTGCAAGTCTCAGGTACAGAAGTGCCACGTAAGGCTCTGTTTGCCTCTGTTTATCAAGGTCCCATTGGCCTAAGGAAGTCTCAGGGCCTCACCTGAGCTCCCTGTGGGAGAGGACCACAGAGGGGTGGCTCGTTGAGGGCCACTCATATAACAGTCCACCTCCCAGGTTCAAGGACCCAGTTCGTGTACTGCTATTGCTGTTACATTCAATGCATATCTAAAATATTTTGAAAACATTAAGAAAACAAAAACAACTGCTTGTCAACCATTTAACATCTCCTGAGACACCCCTCCTCTGCTGCCGCCCCGACGTGAAGCCCAGCCCTGAGCCCTCTGCCCTATCTCCATTGTCTCCAGCCTCACGCAGCGCTGGGCCCCCTGGCTTCCTCTCCCCTCCAAACAGGCCCCTCCACTTTCTCCCCTCTGGTCTCAGAGAAGGGTGCCCTGCTCCTCCTTTCCTGACTAACCTTTGCCTGGGCTCTTGACCTGTCCCCCCAGGTCATGGCTCCGCCGCTTGCGCCCTGCTGGTCAGTCTCTCCCAGTTCTCTTTGCCTCGGTGTGCCTTTGTGGCCGCCCTTGTGAGTGGGTATTTTTTTAGGTTTATTCTCCACCTGGATTTCTTTGGCGAGTTTCCCACTCATATCCTTGGGTTGGTTGAGGGGTGGAGTGTTTCTTTTTCTTAATGATTCATAAATGCTTTACAGAGAAGATAGCAAACTGTTTCCTCTCCTCCTTGGTCTCGTGGGATGAGCGTGTTCCCTTCGGCACGTTCACAGTCATTGTGTCCAAGAAGCTCACCCTCCTCTCTCCTCACCCTCCTCTCCCCTCACCCTCCTCTCCCCTCACCCTCATGTCTTCCCTGGGAAGCCCAGACTTCTTCATGGCTTCTGGTTCCACATAATCTCATGGCCCAAATCTAAAGATAAGTCTCCAGGGGGCCAGATGGTGGCACAACGGTAATGCTACTGGACCCACATGGAAAGGTCCCAGGTTCACATCCTGGGATCTCCCTGTGTGTGCCAGGCATGCACATGCGTGAGCCCACGGTCCAGGCTGGCTGATGCAGAGGGTGGATCATGGCGTGAGAGCCCTGTTGGGGTCTCTCTTGTGGGAAGAAGAAAGGAACGGAGAAAATACAGGAAAGCTCATCTCCCAGTTTCCTGCCAGACATCTCCAACTGGCTGTGTCAGAAGAGTCCTGAGCTTCTAGAACTGTTCTTTCTCTCCCTCCCCAAATGTGCTCTGCTGCCCGCCTTCTCAGCCCAGCTTGGAGCTCTTTGAAGGAGCAGTCTACACTCAGTGTCTACACCGTGTCACCATCCACTCTCTCCTGATCTTGCAAGGCATTGTGGGACGGGACAGCTGTTCTGTCTCTCTCACTGATGAAGAGCAGGCCAAGTCCCCATCTCACTTTGGGCCTTGGGCTCTTTATCAGTGAAATACACTGATTAGACCAGAAAATCTCCATGGTGGGCAGTCCATAACCCGTGTCAGGATCAGCACGCCTGCTTCCTCCCTGACGGGGCAGTACGCAGTCATTCAGTGCACGGAAGCCTGTTTGTGGAGGTCGCGGGTGACGGGGGCAAACCTGACCCTTCCGAGGGCTCCCTGGGTAGTTTAGTTCTGCCGTGGCTCCCCTCCCTCTAGTGACCAGAGGCTCCTCCTTTCCCGCTCAGACATGCCTTCTTTCTCTGCAGGCAGCACCAGCGACATCATGACCAGTGACCACAGCCCTGTCTTCGCCACGTTCGAGGCGGGGGTCACCTCCCAGTTTGTCTCCAAGAACGGTAAGTGGTGGACAGTGTGCATTTCTGTCCTCCTCAGAGGCGAGGGGCCCGGCACTCATCTTCCGGTTGCCGCCATCGGTCCCCTGCATTAGGGGAAGGCTTCTCCTTCCAGGCCAGTCACAGTCCATCGGTCAGGTCTCTCCTGTTCGCACCACGCCACAGCTCGGTGCCGAGCACTAACTTGCTCTGGTGGTGAACGAGTCAGCCTTTTGGGTCTCCATTTCAGTTATTTATTTGTTTGGTTGCCTGTTTTCCAGAGGGTGTGTGTGCTTGCCAGAGACAGAGAGAGAGGGAGAAAGAGAAAGCACCCTCCAGAGGGGTGCAGTCACGCTGCCCTTCTTCACCCCATTTCTCCACCCTGTCGGGATTCGAGGCAGACATGCACATACGCCCATGTGATTGTGAAGCCGCCAGGTCTGGGATTTGTACTGCTTGGGAGGCTATGCTGGATCCAGCTGCATTAGCCACCAGGCCGCAGGGCCAGCCCAAGCCTCCGTCCAGAGAATTCAGTGAATCAGTGTTTCGGTGTGGCCTGTTGGCCAGCAAAGACATGCCTGGGGGGACGTGATGAACATTTATCAGTAGTGTGTTCATTCTACTATGTCTTCCCTTTCTGTGCAACGCGAGCAACATTAGTTCTTATTTAGTACAGTGCTGTCTATACTCCATTAAATTGCATCTTAGTTTAAAGGGTGAGTCTATCTGAAGAAATTATTAGGTAGGAAGGAAGCCAGATCCCACATGGCTGACTGTAGCTTGAGTCCTGCCCCTGGTGGCTTGAGAAACATTCTGAGCACAAGTGTACGCATGGCCAAAATCCCAACGGGCTAGAGAGATGGAGGAGGAGGGACTGTGGGGACCAGAGGCCTCCCTGCGTACACGGGCATGTGTATGCCCATGATTCTGGCTGGCCGAGGCTAGAGAAGGATCAGGGCGTCCAGAACTTCGTGGGGATGCTCTCTCACACATGGAAGAGATAAATAAACTTTAAAAAATGAAAAAGCAAGCAAGCATTCTGTGAAGGTCAGTGCAGGTGCACGGTAGACCGAGGTGGTAAAAGCTGTGATGCGGATGTAGGTGCCTAGGCCTGGGGGCACTAGAGCAGATGCTCAGATTTGCAGGTCTTTATTCAAATAGCCCAGCTCCTGCTGGTCGTAGACCGTAGACTGGTTGTCCCAGCAGGGGCCAGCCATTCTCTCTGTCCAGCCCTCAGCCTGGGCGGTCATGCTGTCATCTCCTCTGCCCTCTCCCTGCTTCTGTGGTCAGCAAACAACTGGGCTTGTTTGGGAAGGCTGAAAGTGGGGGGCCCAAACACAGGCTGGGGAAGACTGTCTCCCCTTGTCCCCTAGGGCCATAGGCAAGGCCAGACCCTGCTGTCCTGGAGGCTGTTCTCCATACACTCGGGTCTAACGTCTGTGACCCCAGGAACATGACCTCCTCTCTCCACCCAAGCCTTTACACACTTCCCTGTCTCCCCCTAGCTCTGGCAGCTCTGCCTTTCCAGAACATTCCTAGAGGTAGACCCTACCTCTCCTGGCTCCCCTTTCTCAGACTTCCTGCCACCTTGATTGGGCAGCCCAAGCCACTCTCCCCTCCCTGCTCAGGGAACTCTGAGGTCAGGCCTGGCTTCCCCCACTGGGACTCCGAAGTGCTGATCACCTGATGGGGTGTTGATTGAACCTCAGCAGAGGCTGGCCGTGCTGTGGGGTTTAGAAAGGACGAGAGGACTGGAGGAAGGAAAGACTGGCCCTTGCTCTCAAGTGGCTGAGAACGCACCTTAGGACAGAACACCCGTCTCAGCCAGCTGAGGGTCTTGTGAGGCACCGTCTAAATGAACAGTTACAGACACGTTAACGGTGCAGATGAGCTGCGGCCCAGAGGAGTGGGGCGACTGTGTCCCAGGGAGAAAGAGCAGGCCCTCCACTTTCTGACCTCAGAGGTGGGGCATGTTTGAGCCATGAACCGCAAACTGGAGGGGGCCAAGGTAGTGAGGTTAGGTACTCTGAGCCATGCGGTGTCAGTGACCACCCTAGAGAGTCTTGACTCCGTGACATCATCCTCCTTCTGCACCCTCCACTGTGGCCAGTCCCTGACCCAGAAAGGCCACGACCATCCTGCGGGACTCAGCGAGGGTGGTGGGTCTTTTTGCAGCTTTACCCCAGGGAAGCCTACCCTTCTTCCCCCTGGACGCTCACCTTCCCCAGGCCCTGGGAAGGAGCTGGCATGGGGAGTGAGGAGCCAGGGAAACTGATGTGAAGGGCCCTCGCCTCACCTGCCACAGGCCCGGGGACTACAGACAGCCAAGGGCAGATCGAGTTCCTCAGATGCTACGCCACACTGAAGACCAAGTCGCAGACCAAGTTCTACCTGGAGTTCCACTCGAGCTGCCTAGAGAGTGAGTGCGCCCACTAGAAATGCTTTCTTCACGTGTCCTCCCCGGAAAGGACTCACAGGTGGGCCCGAGGGGGTCAGAGAAGTGGGGCTGCCGTGGAGGTCCCCTGTGGCACCCACTTACTGTGAAGGGGAACCCCCTGTGGCCTGTTCTGCTGCTCCAATGCCGGGGCAGGGACAGCCACTGATGTGGCAACCCCTCCAGGCGGGGGGGTCCTCTCCCCGTGCCCTCCAGGCAGGCTATAACCAGCAGAGGCTCCATCCCACCAAGCCGGAGCACCCTGAGCCAGGCACTGAGGAACCCAGAGCTCACGGAGGCTGGCGCTGCGGCCTGAGCCATACATGCCAGACGGCCCTGTCGCCCCAGCCCCTCCAGCTGCCTGCATCTCAGGCATCTTCCTCAGGAGCCTGTGGCATTCTAGAGGAGGCTGGGGACAGTGGACAGCCTCCTCTTAGCCAGCAGCACTGAGCACAAACTGTGTTTGGGTGACACCCTTTCTGGTGACATTTCTGGGCATATCGTCCAAAGCTGCTGTGCGGTGAGAGACGTGTGGTTTCTCACTCTCCTTGCCTCTCTGGTCTGGAGAGTGGTGGGGAGGGAAGGGGGAACCTCAACTTCACAGAGGGAGGCAAGCCTGGGGTGCTTCCAGAAATCTCGCAAAGAAGCATGTGCCCCCATACCAGTCTGCACCCCACCCCCGACTTCTCCAACTCAGTCAGACCCAAGCCTCGATCACAGAGGCGCTTCCGCCACCGAGTCCCCAAGCCCTGGATTGCCAAGCGGGGTCAAAGCAGCTCCAAACACGAGGAGGATTTTGTGCGGGTGTTTTTAATAACCGATGGAGACATTTGCATAGATTTCTATGGAAACAGCATATTAGGAAGCTTAAATTAGAATTTCAAAAGGCTGCTGTCTTGAGTGGCGGGGACGGGGGGACGAGCTGTCATGTTTCCTAATCTTGCCTGTGATGTGATGGTTTCTTTGTTGCCCGGTGTGTCGCAGAGGAGCTGAGAAGGAGGGGAAACCTCTCTGAGTTTCCTAAAAATAACTAAAAATAACTAACTAGCCTGTGTTGGCAAATGACCACCTCCTACACAGCACCAGGTCCCCAGCAAAGCCGACTCAGAGGATGCTGATGCCCCTCAAAATAAAAAAGGAGGCACAGCCTAGTCCCCAGCCTGGCGGGGGTCCTTCCTGTCTGCTTCCTGGAAACCAACTTCTTGTCCTCCGACAGGTTTTGTCAAGAGTCAGGAGGGAGAAAATGAAGACGGAAGTGAAGGGGAGCTGGTGGTGAAGTTTGGGGAGACCCTTCCGAAGGTAATTCAGGAAGAGGACATTCCCCGGGGAATGTCGTGCTTGCCGGGGTGGCAGTCCTGGCCGGCAGGCAGCCGAGCCCTGGGAGCAGAAACTCCGCCTCCTCCCCGACCCAGTGCAGCAGGACCAGCCTCAGCCTGCCCCAGCTCAAGCACACTCTGTCCAAGGTAGCCAGGGCACATTCTCAGCAGTGAGACAAGTGGCCCCAGTGTTCCTAAATGGCTTTCTGTCCCCTAATGGGTCAGAGAAGGGGTCTAGAGATCGACTCATTAACCACGTGACTTTGCCAAAAGGAAGCTGAGGTGCCAAGCCGGGAGAGGTCTGTTCATGGTGACAATAGTGACAGCCCAGGCCCCAACCCCTGAGGTCCCGCCTGCCCTTCTGTGTTCATTAGCCTAGTCTGTGCTGGCTCACGGGATGAAGCAGAGGCAGAAGGAGTCTGCTGGCTCCTGACCATGAGCCGTGACATGTCTGTGTCCCGTGGGAAGACATTCCTCTTTATGGTAGAAAAGTACATTTTGTTTTTAGTCTTTTTTTTTTTTTTTTGCCACAGAGCACATGCACTTGCCAAAGAGAGATAGAGAGACACAGAGACAAGAAAAGTGAGACCTCTCCCCCCTGGGGGGGGGTGGCCATGCCAAAATTCCTTCTCCTTCTCTCTCAGGATGGTAGGCATGCATGCACACACACACACACACCCAGTGTGTTCTTCAAGCTGCTGGGTCTGGGACTAGAACCTCAGAGTTGGTGTTGTGGGATCCAGCGCCTTAACCATCATGCCACCTGCTGGCCCCAAAATAGACTTGTACCAAAACTGTTTCCGACAGTGAGCTGATGGCGGTGGTGCTCGCTGTCATGTGTACACGCTTACTGGACGTCATCACTGGCCAGAGCGAGCAGTAGGACACCGTGTCCTTCTCCATCACAGGGGAGCGTATGGAGAAAGGGAGTCCAGGGTTGGCAGACCCATCGTGGAGGTGGGGACTCAGAACCCCCTTGAAGGTTTCCTCATAGGGGTAGCCCCAAGGGGAGCTCCAAAGGACAGTCCTAGACTGGTGGAGGGCCATCCTCTCAGGCGGGGTGGGTTGTGGGCAGGTCTCAGAGCGGGGCTGCCCACACTGGTGCTCATGGCTGATTAGAAGACTCATGGCCTCCTGAGGAGGATGTGGCGTCTCGGGGTACAGCAAGTGTCTGAGCTCCAGGTTCTCCATATTCTGGAGCAATTCCAAATTCTTTAGAGGCCTTGGCCAGCTCAGCTGGCTCTGATCTGAGACACCGGAACAGTTGTAAGATGTCCCCATCCTGGACTGTATTCAGGCCCCTGAGCCTGGGGCTCTTGTTACCAAGGGGAACTTTCTGCCTCACCCTCCATTCTCCTGCACCTCCTCTCTGCTCCCAGCCGGACCTGCAGGTGCGGGCCAGACGCCAGCATCCCTGTTCCCAGAGCACGTCCACCAGCCCCTGTCCAACTGTGGGCCCTTTAGGACACCCTGTCTTCCTCCACTCCCCATGTCTTGTCACTGGGTCTTGCTGCTCCTCTTCCTCTGTCCCCTCCCCTTCTCCCACTGCCACCCCCTGGGGTCTTTGCCCTCCTATCTTTCTGGTGAGGTACCCCAAAGTGTTGGACCTTCCGAATGCCCACTGATCCTGGGACCCTTTGTCTGGCTGCCTCTCTGGTGCCCAGCGAGGCGAGCCCCCTCGGTCTGCAGCTGTTCTAGAAGGCAGCCTTTGCTCCAGTCTGCCTCCAAATTCTCCACCCACCTCTGCCCCTGACAGCCTCTCCTCTGCACCTCTAAGTCTTTGCTCAGCTCCCAGGAGAGTCTCCTTCCCTGCCGCCACCCCACACTGTGACTTTATGTTCAAATACCTCACTCCCCTGAGCACCCAGGTGGGGCAGGGCCCTCCATGTCCTCAGCCCCCGGCCCTGGCCCCGTCTAGCTTGGAGTCAGACGTGGTCAGTGAGCTGAGTGGTTGGTGTGGTCACAGACTCTGGATTGTCCCAGAGCCCCTGCTGCAGCTTTCAGTCAGTCATTCTGGAACTTTCTGAGTGGAGAGATGGCCCGTCCATCCTGCTGGTCAGCACGATTCCCACGGCTCTGCCCAGGGGCGTCTCAATGTCCGTGAGAGGGAGGGGGGACAGTGGACAGCGCCTACACTTATACTAGGCCCTTCTGGGCTGAGTCATCACAGAGCAGCCTTGGGTAGTGAAAAGCCGCAGACGGTGGCCGGCGTGGAGTGGTGCTCCCTGTGTGCACTGGGGAGGTCGGAGGTCACATACTAAGCCTGGCTTCAGCACAGCCCTGACCAAGCAGCCAGGCCTCAGGAGCAGCAGTTCCTGGCTCCAAAAGATCCCTGGCAGCAGGGAGTTGGAGAGAGGGGCAGGATGCTTGAGTCTGTCAGTCACTCACTGAACCCCACCCCCAGCAACCCACAAGACACTGCAGGCAACAGGGAGGGGGCTTTGTTGGGGGCGTGCCCAGAGGTTGCACCTCCCCAGTCCTGGAGGGGCCTCTGGAAGGGCTGTGTCCTGCTGGGGGAGCTTGGCAGAAGGGTGCAGGGTCCTTCCAAACCTGGTTCCTGGGCCCAGTCCCGTGTCAGCCTGCCCCTCCCCCATGACCCCGGGACACACAAAGTCCATTTTGTTGCTACTAACAGAAAACGCTTGCGACTGTTTATAAAAATAGCTTATTCGGCTCACGGTTTGAAGGTCCGAGGTCCGGGCCCCAGTGGGCGTCTTGCAGAGCAGGGCAGAGCCACTGTGTCCCTGGCATCTGTTCCAGTCTCCTTCCCTCGCCCTAGGAGCCCACCAGAACTCACGGCCGCCCCCATTAGGGCCACCTGATTAGTCTAACTCTCATCTCTTCCCGGAGGCCCACCTTTCAACCCCATAATCAGACTAGGCCTTCGCCCCCTCAGTCCATCACGACCTAAGTTTGACACATGAACTGGGGGGATGCTCACACTGTAGTGGAGGGGAGGGAAGGGAGGTTGTGGGCACGGGGTGCCCGGGGGCCGGGCCCTCTGCCTGTGGCCTGGGAGCACAGCCCAACGTGGGAGGCCTGGGGTGGGGGTAAGGACAGCATGGACAGCTGACCCCTGCCCTGCCGGGCTCCTTCCCGCTCTTGGGCGTGGAGAGCAGGGACCCAAATGGGTCGATCAGAGCATGTGGAGTCCTCCTGCCCCCACCTGTCCCTCATCCCGTACCCCTCTCTGTGCAGCTGAAGCCCATCATCTCCGACCCCGAGTACCTGCTGGACCAGCACATCCTGATCAGCATCAAGTCCTCCGACAGTGATGAGTCCTACGGTAGGTCCAGGACAGACCCGCCCCTGCCCTCCACCCAGGCCCCGGAGCGGAGGGGCAGTGGCAGTGGTCCTCCAGACCAGCCCAGTGGCCTCTCCCTGCCCTGTTCTGCTCTGCCTTCCCCCTCCCAGAGCCGCCCTTCCTGCCCTGCAGGCTCCTGGGCACCGCAGGCCGCCGCCATGCCTCTGTCTGCCTTCTGCCAAGGCTCTCCTGCTGGTGCTGAGCCCGGCGCCTGGCAGGTCCCACTTGGCTGAATCCTGACAAGGCCTTACGAAACAGGAACTGTTCTCTCGATGAGTAAACAGAGAGGGGTCAGGGGACTTGCCCAAGGCGCACAGGTGGTAGTAGCTGAGCCCTAGAACCCGGACTTGAGCCCGGGTCTGCCTGCACCGCCCTGCGCCTCGCACACCCCAGCAGGCTCCTGAGCCTACAAGTACTGGGCTGCAGGCCCTCTCTGCTACACGGGTCTCTAAAACACCTGCTCAGGTGTGAAATGGGCTGTCACTTCTGTCCCCTGCGGCTGCCCTCTGCATGAGAACCATCTCCTCAGCCAGAGACATTTGGTTCAGTCATGAAATAGGGTTGAGGTGATGGGAACTGCCCAGTGCTCTGGGACCAGACTGTGGCTCCCCCGACTGGCCCACCTGAGGGACCAGGGCCCTGTGGCTCCTGGCCAGTGTCAGGTTCACTCTCGCATGTGGCATTCAGCGCGGCTAGAGCATAGGGTGAGAGGGCAGGTGGCCAGAGAGTGGCTGGAGGCAGGAACCTTACAAGCCATCTAGGTGTGAGACCTTCTCCCGAAGACAGTAGGGAGCTATTGAAAATCCCACCGAGATAGCATGGCTGCAGTGATCAAGATGGGAAATGCGGGAGCCAGGATGAAGGCAGTGACAGTGAAAAGGGGAGAGGAGGCTAGAGAGCTGGGAAATGCACTTGGGAGTCAGGAGGTGGCGAGTCATGACGACCCTGCACCCTGGTCTGAGCAGCTGGGTTAATGGCGGGTCTACTTCCCGCGCTGCGTCAACAGCGAGCCACAGGCAAAGGCACAGCCAGAGAGGAAGGAGGGTGCCGGGGTCCAACCTCGGCGGGGGTGGGTTGACGCGCTGGAGACGGCGCAGGTGAACAGAAACAAAAATTAGACTAAGGCCTCAATGCCTTTTAGCGTGTTCTTAGCCGGCCACAGCTAGAGTTAGCTCCAGGCTGCTGCGCTACCAGCCGTCAAACACACGTATTTATTGAGGGGTGTCTTACAGAAGTAGGAGGGGTGAGGGGGAAATAAAAGATTTACTCTACGAAACAGAGAATTGAAGGCACAGGAACAATAATCATAAAACATGATGTCTGTCTCGTGTGATTAGGAATAATCAATTACAGTTCTCAGGGCGAAGGCGTCTATTTGTCTGGTGCATTTCCTTCTTAAATCTTGATGACCGGACAGGGCCTTTTTGGGTGAGAGGGTCTTGTAGCTCAGGAGACAACACAGGGTGTTTTATTAGCAGTTTTTCATAGTTAACAGCGCACAGGGGAGAAACTGCTTGTAATTAGGCACTATCCCTTGCTTGCCTCGGACCAGAGAAGAACTTTCAGCTAAGGTAGTTACTCTTCCCCCTGGAGCCTTCAGGTTTGTTTATCTTGTCTCTGTTAGCCAGATCCGTCCTTCCTCTGTTAACCCACAGGTCCCTGTATTGATTTGCTGAATTCTTTGTCTGTTAGTCAGTGAATTCTTGTGCTAATTTGGCCTAATACAAGTTACTTTGACCTGTAGCTTTAACAAGGAGTATTTACGTAAAACTAGCCTTAAACTATGTTACTAAAGCTAATTTGACTTAATACTAACTTAATCTTAACATATGTTAATTTAGGCTGAAACAGACAGGTGGGGAGTCTGTCCCAGGTTCCCTGGCCCTTTACCCTTGCAGGGCACCGTAATAACAGTAAAGCTCACGGCAGAGAAACTGAGTGCAGGCCAGTACAGCGACACAATGGAGGGTTCCTACCAGCTTGTGTTGTCTGAATGGCCCCGTCAGGAGGGGAACCAAAAGGCTGCGGCGTTGGGGACATCGTCGGAAGAGATCAGACTGGGGAGACCACGGGGCCATGATACCAGATGTGGCAGGAGAGCTGACCAGTAAAGCCTGCACAGTGTCCTGGGGACAGAGTGGCCCAGAGGACATCCGTGCACTGCAGTGAGAATGGCATTGGCTTGCTCCCCGCCTCAGGAGGGGATGAGACGGTCCACATGGGATGTCAGAAGCTTCAGTGGCAGGAAGCAGGCAGCACATGAAGCAGCCCTTCCATTCTCCTGCTCAATACTCGAGTCCTCCTCTGGTTCTTCATTTTTATACTCAATTCACCAACAGTGTATCCTAACAGTAAAAAGGAAAAAAGTCATCGATCAGTCTAATTCCCCAGTATTGCAGTCATTTTTATTTTGGGTTCCTGTTTCCACAGGACATACATAGATTTTCATACTGTGTGTGTGTGTGTGTGTGTGTGTGTGTGTGTGTGTGTTCAGGGGGGGCTGTTGGGCATGTGCACTCACCAAAGAGAAACAGACAAGAAGAAAGCACCCCCCCCAATGGGGCATGACCATGCCATAATCTGTTCTCCATTTCCTTCTCCTGTCAATATTGTGGGCACCCACACTCACATGCCTGGTGTGTTTTTAAAGCAACTGAGGCTGGGATTCCAACCATGCAGTCAGCCAGGTGGGATCTGGCTCCTGTAGGCACTAGACCATGGTGCACGCGTGGTTTTCATATGTTATTTCTGCTTCTCTCACCTGGTATGAGATGATAAATGCTTTCCATGTTCCTCCTACACAGTCTTCAAGACCTGCCTTTTCATGGCTGCATAATACTCCAAAGGTCACCTGATCCATCAAAGTATCATTGTTACTGCGCCCCTCACCCCCGGTTGCTCTTGCTCGTGTTGTCGGTCACACTGAGATCATTCCCTTTGTGGACAGTTTCCTTCAGTCACGTTTTTTATCCTTCTGGAGCATCTCTTTAGGATGAGTTCCCGTCTCTTCTGGTCGGAGGGGTTAAATATGTTTGTGATTCTTGGCGTTTATCCGCAACCTGACTGCTGTAACAGCTCCCGGTCGACCTTCCCACGCCCACATGTGCAGGCCGGTTGTGCACACGGACCCCTCCTCACATCGGGTGCTATTTTCCTCCCTTCCGATTTGCGAAGACTTCTCTGCAAGAGAGCACGTGGTGCTTCCTTCGTTCTGTTTTCCACTTGCTGAAATTAAGCAGCAGCAGCGCTTTCTGTGTGAGACGTCAGCTTCTTCCTCTGCTGGGGCCTTGACTTTGAGGCGTTCTCATGGGGTTCGGATCATGCGCCCCTGTCTGAAGCTGGTTGCTCGTGCCCTTCCGGTTTCCTTCTCAGCGTACCTCCTTTCTCTGTGCAGGAGTTTCGAACATGCACATCCTCTCACCTGCCATTCTTGTTTTGTCGTTCCCTGCGTTGTTTCAAACCTTGGGACGTGACCATCCCTACGGCAACTGGCTCCGTACTGAACCGTCTGTCTGCTGCTTGTCTATAACTGCGTTCCTTCTTTTAGACTAATCCACGTGGAGTTCATTTGGTGTAAGTTTTGAGACGTTGGCCCGAATTGCTGAGGCCTTGTTCCACAGGGTGGATGAAATGCTCCTTGCCCGGAGGCAGAGCGGTGGCACAGTGGTCAAGCACCAAGCTCTGGGAGGTCGCCCCGCATGGGGAGGTCCCCGGTTGAAGTGTGGAGACCTCCTGAGCACACTAGGCATGTGTGTGCCCGTGATCCGGGCTGGCTGAGCTAAGGGTGGATCACAGGGCCGGGGCTTGTCAGGGGTGCATAAATAATAAACTTTAAAAGATAATAACCACAATTGCTGTCTGGGCCGTCGTGGAAGAACTGCCCTGCACGGTAGAGCTGAGTCCGCAGCCAGCGCTCAGTGTTCCTCCTGTGCACTGGCCGGGCTTGACGCGGCTGTTGTCCCCTCTCCCCCCAGGCGAGGGCTGCATTGCTCTTCGGTTAGAGGCCACGGAGATGCAGCTCCCCATCTACACACCTCTCACCCACCACGGAGAGATGACAGGCCACTTCCGGGGGGAGATCAAGCTGCAGACCTCCCAAGGCAAGAAGAGGGAGAAGCTCTACGGTAAGTGGGCGCCTCCACGCTCCCTCTAGCACGGGCCAGGGCCGGGAGGTGCTTTGGCCAGCAGCGCTGTCGCACTCGTCCACGGGGCAGCGTCCAGCCTGGGAGAGGAGCCCTGGGAGAGGAGCTCAGAGACGGTCTGGCCCAACCTGTCTTGACCTGAGAATTTTCCGACCCCGGCAGCAGAGATGCTCTCTCCCACCCCAGGCAGCTTCGAGCCTCAAGGACTCGAAGGTCCTCAAGGTCCCTTTGCGGTTTTTCAGGGACCCCACACTCACCTCCTATCAGCCTTTAGGCCCTGTCACTCCCCGGGAGCCCTTCTGTCACAGGAAGGACCAAGACTACCAAGTAAACCTGCCCACTGCTAACTGGTCTTTCCTAAAGCCAGGGCGACCGTGAGAGATAGAATTTCCCGTGTGAGAGACCAGCAAATGGCGTAATAGTTACATCACTGGACTCCCACATAGTGGACCATGTTCCAGACCCAGACCCTTTTTTTTTTGGAGAGGTTTTTGCTATAGGGCGCGTGCGCTCGCCAGACAGACAGAGAGAGACAGAAAGTGAGAAATCACCCCCCAGGGGGGATGGTCATGCCATAATCCCTTCTCCTCCATTCTCCTCTCGGGATCTTGGGCATGCATGCACATGCGCCCAGTGTGAGTTTTAAGCCACCAAGTCCGGGACGCGAACAGCGGTCGACTACATGGGAGTCCAGCAACATAGCCATTACGCTAACTGCTGGTTTCAAGACCCAGCACCTTAAATTCACACCAGGCGCGTGTGCTTGCGTGCTCAAAATCCTGAGAAGAGAAAAGAGAAGAGATTGCAGTGTGGCCGTCCCCCCTGATTTATTGCTTTCTGTCTCTGTATCTCCGGTGAGCACACACACTCTGTAGCAAAAAAATCTCTCTCTTAAAAAAATAAGGAATTTCCTGTGTGATCCCTGCTCGGCCCTGTGGCGTCCACCCACATCTACTGACATGCCCCCCTGAGCACCCACACCCCGTCCAGGCCCCAGCAGGGCTTCTGCCCTTCCACATCACTCCCTGCACCACACACACCCGTCACCTAGGGGGAGCACTGAGGCGAAGTAAGGCAGGCCAAAGACTTCCCGACCAGGGCCGAGGTCGATCTCCTGAAAAACGTGTGCCGAGGTCTGACAGCGCTCAGGATGATTCACAGACCGAAGCGACGAGTGGGAGGGGAAGTGGCAAGGAGTCTTTCAGAGCCGCCACTGGCTGGGTTCTGTAAGGGGAGCAGGATGACCTCATGGCCACCGGGAGTCTCTGTGCTTCGCCTTAGTCATGCTGGCACAGTTACAACGGGATCAGGTCCGGGACTCGAACCACAGTCAGCCATGTGGGAATCCAGCACCCTTAACCACCACACCACCTGCAGGCCCCTAAATGTCATCTTACAACAGCCCTGTGAGCCAAGTGTTTTTGTCCTGGTTTGGTAGATGGGGAAGTTGAGGCATAGAATGGTTAAGTGGTTGGCCACCAGTCACATACTCAGTACGTGGTTAGGCCAAAGTGAAAGTGCAGGTTCACCTAGCGCCAGGCTGGAACTCGCAGGCGTCCTGGCCTCCCGCCCACAGAGGGCGTCCCTGCCCCTCCTCCCCGCACCAGCGGAGGCAGCAGCCCACCCAGGGTGCAGCCTCCCGTGGATAGGGCTCTTTCCTCTGCCCTGTGAGAGCCCCTTTCCCTAGCAGGACAGTGGGATGGGGTGATGGGGACTCAGCACCTCTGTGACCACACGCGAGTCAGAAATGAGAATGGGGGTCTCGGCTCCCCGTTAAGCCCCTGAGCAGGTTGGCTTTGTGGACCAAGTGCCCCGTGGAGCTACCGTGCTAGCTGCTTATTCTCCTGCTTTGTCCCTCGCTGAGACCTACAAGTTGGCAGCGTCACATGAAATAACAACCTTGGCTCACACATGCCAACTCCTCCCCCCTGGAGTCAAAGCAGGCATAGCCAATCAATCGCAGAGGCCTCAAAATCTTGCTTAATCGCCCCCACCACCACCACCACCAGGTAGCTGTTGTTCCCAGTTCAGTTTCGTCCTGCAAATGGAAAGCCCTTTGCATGTGGCTGGGCCCTCATGTGCTATTTTCTGACCCTTTCCTTCCAGACTTTGTGAAGACTGAACGGGATGAGTCCAGTGGTCCCAGGTCCCTGAAGAGCCTCACCAGCCACGACCCCATGAAGCAGTGGGAACCTTCCAACAGGTACGCAGGGGCTGGCTGAGGATCGCAAACCCGCGTGGCTCTGTCGCCCCAGGTCCCAGAGAAGGTGCACTGGGGCAAGGATGGGAAATGGGGGCTCCACGGTCTTGTGACCGCAACCCCATGTGGCCGGGGAAGTTGGTGCAAACAAATCTGAAACCTGTGCAAGTCTTTTTATCACCTGCATTTTCCACGAGCCTGCAGATCTCACTCCTATTCCCTTCCAGTCCGCTTCTTCCATGATTGTCATGAGCGCACTGGGGCCTGTACGTGCTTGCTTGCTTCTAGAGTCAGGGTCCGTGTAGGTGAGCAAATCCTTTTCCATCTGGACCAGCGTTAGAACTGGCATTTATTTCGCACGCAGGCATTGGCAAACAGGCGTGAGATGTGGCTCGGACCCAGGCCGCTGGAGCAGTGTTCCCAGACCCTGTGCTCTCAGAGCTCAGCAGTTCTCGCGAGATCGTTGCCCGACTCAGAGGCCAAGCCCGTCCCGCCTTAGGTCTTTGCACTTGGTCTTAGCACTGCCGGAACCTTCTTCCCTCCCTTCTCTCTCACCTGCTTACTTTCTCATCTCAGACAGGCCTTCCCCGGCCACCCCAGGCAGGCCTCACCCCTCCTGCAGGTCTCTCTCTGCCCTTCCGCTCACCTTCAAAGTTCAGCACTGTACACCTCAGGGTCTCTGCCGCTGAGCTGGCTCTTCGTCAGTCTCGTCCATCAAATATGACTTCTGAGAGCAGGGGTGGCTAAGGCACTGAACTCCCACATGGTCAACCTTGGTTCAAGGCCCGGACCGGACCTGCTGGCTTGAAAGATCATGCTGGGCATGTGTGCGTGCATGCCCCAGATCCCAAGAGAATGGAGGAGAGGGGCTGCAGCATGGCCATCCCCTGGGAGGCGGGTGATTTCAAAATAAATAAATAAATAAATAAATAAAGGAGTTGAGAAGGGCCTGAGGGGTCGTTGGCGCTGACCCCAGAAGGGGAGGGGGACCTTGGGTGTGACTGCATGTGTCTCCCCGCAGGGCCCCTCTGGGTGGCAGCTCCAGCATCACTGACATCATCAACCCCAACTACATGGGGGTGGGGCCTTTCGGGCAGCCGCTGTCCCTGCACGTGAAGCAGACGCTGTCCCCAGACCAGCAGCCTACAGCCTGGAGCTATGACCAGCTGCCCAAGGACTCTGCCCTGGGGCCCGGGAGAGGAGAGAGCCCTCCGACGCCTCCCTCCCAGCCGCCTGTGTCACCAAAGAAGTTTTCATCCTCCTCAGCAAGCCGAGGTCCCTGCAGGGCGCAGGAGGCTAGGTGAGCATCCTTTTCCTGGGACCTCTCCCAGTCTGCGGGAGGCCCTGGGCTCTTGCCCGAGTGGAGGCCTCAGGAGGGCAGGGGCTTTGACCACTAACTGTCCTCAGGGGCTGTGACACAGGAAAATCCCCACGTCCTTCCAAGGAGGGACTGGCCCCATAGCCTAGCGGGTAAGGGAGACCGCCCTCACATGGCCGAGCGCAGTTCTGTCCCTGTCACAGCAGCCTGTACAACACCCCAGCACATGTGCATGTGCACCCCGAATCCTGACAGGGTGGCGAAATGGGAAAGGGATTGCAGTGTGACCATACCCCACTGGGGGTGCTCCCTCCCTCTCTCACTCTGGATAGTGCATGTGCCCTCTGGCAATTTAAAAAAAATAGTGAATTTCAAAGATACTTCCAAGAAAAGCAACCTCCTGTGAACAGCACTGACTGGAAAGATGTTTCTAGACCCTGTGAGCTTGCAGGCATCCCCACTCCCTAGGGGGCCCCGTGGAGCAGGGCTGGGAATTCCCAGAAGCCCCTTCTGACTCCAAGATCCCCTCTCTCCCCAACTCTGGCGAGGAGTTCCTGTTCCCCAGCGCAACTTTCTAGTCCCTCTGTTGGGACAATTAGAAAAAGAAAACACCAGGACGGGGACACAAAAACGGGGAAGAACAGCAGCCCGCAGAGGGAGGGGTTTGCCGGGAACTTAGGACGGCCCCACCAGGGGTCTCCACAGTCCAGGAATGGGCTGGTGTCCCCAGAGCCACCACTGCTTCTCCTGTTGCTGCTCTGGTGGCTCAGGGGTGGCACGGGGCACCTTGTGGAACATGGGCCGGGCCCTCCACGTTTCCAGCATGCACGGGTGACAGGCCCAACACGCGCAGGCCCAGCCCCATCACGGGATTTAAATGTGCGTGTCATCTCCCCGGGAGGCCGCCCGCTGTTAGAGGGCCACCTTGGGTTCGCGCTCAGCCTCTCTCCGACACCCGAAAAACCTTCTTTTTTCCATCCGATGAGTTCCTTGACAGCGCTGCCTGCTGAGGGTAGTCAGGAGCCAGCGAGGGGCACGGTCCTGCCCCCACCTGGCCTGGCTGGCCTTGCCTCCACATGGGAGGCAGTTGATAATGTTCCCTAAGCTTTTCCTCTTCAAAAATGGACAGGTGAAAGGAAGACCGGGCGGGAAGGAAAGGAGGCTAGCGGGGCGGGGAGGGGGCTGGGCAGGCCCTGGGCCCGGCCGGGTCTCCACCTCTGGCTGCGGAAATTGTTCATAGTATTCTGGACGCTGGTCTCTTCCTAAGGGGCTTGGGGGAGGAGAAACAGCCTCAATTTCTGTTCTTGGAAAAATGAGGACCAAGCCACCCTAGGATGGGCGCCGAGGCCCTGCAGCCAAGGGCCACGTTGGGGAGGCTCTAAGTGGCCTCCGAGTGCGAGGATGGAGTGGTTTAAGTGATTCCAGATTCCCGGGGGGCGATGCGTCTCCCCGTGCTCATCCATTTAAACAGAGCCTGGCAGGGAGCACGCTCCTGGGCCCCGAGGCCACGGCAGAGCAGAACAGGTGGCAGAGGGGCCCCCAGGTGGGGTTCTAAGCTCCTTCTCAGCAAGGGGGTGATCAGAGAGAAGGACCCACAGTTCCTGCCCCTGACCACTACCCTCTCTGGGGCCCCATGCCCCGGCTCAGCCTGCAAGGGTGGTTTGAAAAGGGGGTTCACCAGCACCATCAGTGTCCCCCGCCATTGCCCCAGCTCCCAGTGGGGTGACCACCAGATAGCACTAAAGGTCCCAGGTCCAAGGAAACCCTCCGTCCTGGTCAGCAAGGACAACTGGCCGTAAGAGCAGCTCCGTGGGGTCAGGGACGGGCCCTCCTCAGACCCCACCCACGCCGAGATTCTCTCGGGCAGGCGAGAGGGCTGCCGTCTCTGGAGGGTGAGCAGCAGCATTTGCCACAGGAGTTAACTCAGTCCCCTGGGTGTTGGGGGACCCGGGAGTCGGTTTCTGCGGCCTTAGTCAGGAGAATAAAACTCATTTCTGAATTTGTTCTGGTTTTCCCGTCACCCCCCACCCCAGCCAGCTTTCCCCTCTCTCCTCCCTTTTTTCTTGGAATCACAGAAATGTCAGGAGCCAGGGATCCGTCCTCAGGAGCCCCGATCCTGAGGCGAGTCCCCCCTGCTGCCGGCCAGGCACTGGCTGCAGCTCTCCTCTCCCTCCTGCATCTGCAAATGCCGGGCCCTGGCCCTCGGCAGCCCCTGCACCCTCCTCCCTCGGCCAGCTCACAGCCAGGGCTCCGAGGGGCCGGACTGGGTGCCGGGCAGGTCCCGGTGGGGTGGCTGTCAGCGTCTTTGGGGCCTCGGCATTTCAAGTTGCACGACTGCTTCCAGGTCTTCCCAGAAGGTATCAGGCAAAAAACCGAGCTCCAGTCAAGCCCTGTGGGCATGCGCCCCGGCGCGGTGTCCCCTGACCCCACGCCTGCTCTCAAAGGGGATTGTTAGCTGCCGCCAGGCACCTTGGGTTGGGTGTCTGCACCTCCCGCTGGTCACAGGTTCAGCACTTCAGGGGACTCCAGAGGACCCACACTTTCTTGGTGACAGCTTCCTTTTTTGCAGAAAGCAGAAGCCAGAACACTACCATGGGGGGTGGGGGGTGACGCTGCCCTTGATCAGAAGTAAAATGTGTCCCCACTCCTGGTTCTCAGATTGGCTCAGCAGG